CAAAGCTTGTTTATTTTAAAAGCTTGCAAAGCTTGTTTATTTTAAAAGCCTACTGCCCTTGTAAGCTATTAATAGTGAGAATTAACTCACTACATTTGTTCCAAAGAAAATCTACAGGTTTTGTTTCTTGAATATTGTGGATGAAAAAAATTATTCAATGGCTATGATGCCCGGGTGATCCACAGCTCATGAGGCAGGAAACTGACAGAAGATAAAATAACAAGATAACCATAGGTATACAATGCTAAACTTACACGAATAAAGGTGTGGAGTTTTTATGAAAGTCACTCACAATTGCAAGAGAATATCTATTTCAGCAAAGCTATACAAAGAGAATAAGGCTTGAAAAACAGATACCATCTTTTATTTGAAGTTACTTAAGCATATCTTAATGACAGCTGTCTTCTTTTTTTTTTTTTTTTTATAATCTTTAAACTTAAACAACATCTGGGCATCTCAGTAAGGATGTCTGAAAGAAGTTCAAGAGACCAAGAAAAAGGATTAAATGATAAGGGGGAGCAGGCAGAAGAATCAGTTACTGAGAAAAGTAATAAAATGAAGGAAAAGTGTTAAGTATGTAGATGCATAAAGAAGCTGGACAAAGGATTCAAAATACAAAGCTATGACAAGAGAGAACAAATAAACAAAACAGATATTTTCTAAATGTATGTTTCTTGCTATTCCATCTCTTTAAAGACATACACAACCACAGCTAAAACAGTAATGGTGCGTTTGACTGAACCGTACTGCTCGGCCTAGCACGAGCCCACGGAAGATCACACCAGGGGCTGGTTTGAGAGGCGCGGAGCCGCAGTGCCCGGGTCTGGGGGGGGACCGGGCCTGAGGGGGCGACCAGGTCTTGGGGGGGCTCCGGCCCGAGGGGGGCCCCGGCCCGAGGTGGGGCCCGGCCCGAGGGGGGGCCCGGCCCGAGGGGGGCCCCGGCCCGAGGGGGGACCCGGCCCGAGGAGGGCCCCGGCCGCCCCGGCCCCTCAGCCGCGCTCCGCGGCCCGGGCCAGGCGGGCCAGGCCGGGGGCGGCCGGCGTGGTGGCGCCACCTCCTGGCCAGCGGCGGGGAAGCAGGGAAAACCAACGTCTAACACCAATTTTTGATTCATTTTTACTGGACGCGGCGTGTAACAGCATCGTTTTCATGCGAAGATGAATGCATACTGCATTAGTAGCTCATCGTATTATTAATTATGGGTCTGAAACTATGATAACTGTCCTTCAGATGTCTGAATTCAAACAAAACCAAATAGTGTTAGCAACCCAGAAAATCAGATCCTAAATCCTTCATACATTTTCTTAAATCTCTTTATTAAGGCCTAGGTGTTTAGTTTATCTCAAAATTATCACCCTAAAAGCACAGGGTTTTTTTCAGGAACATTAAATAAAGCCCTAAAGTGGTTATTATTGGTTTATTATTTCCGTATTAAAATATTATCGTTACAAATAATAATAATAATTTTCAATATAACCTTTTTTTTTAATTACAGTACAGTTTTTTCCTTTCTCTCTTAAGTGGCGATTTAATGTTCAGACATAAAATTGCTTCAGAAGATTATGGAAATTTAGACACTAGCTCAAATCACAGATTCTGTAATTACATCTGATTTTATTTCTAAAATAGGAAATGGATGCAGTCTTCAGAAGTGCTATGTTACAAAGAATTCCAGCGTGGCATACTGATTCATAACTTATTATTCATTAAGTCAACCTGAACTAACCTGTCTCAGGTTGCAATAACGCAGAAACTTCACACATTTGAATAGAGAATTGGTTTCAGCTGAACTATGCTCTATTTGCGTAGTGCCATCATTTTCCAACCAGAAGTATTATTGATGGATATTTGCATTTTGAAGACCAATCGGATTCTGGAGGATGTTGATACCTGCTTTTCTGCGTCACATAAAAAACAAGTCGCTTTTCTTACACGCTGCTGTAATCTGCAGCAAAGAATGATCAGTTGTTTGCTTTTTTAAAATATAGTTTTCTATAAACTGAATATTCCCAGTGAAATAGCACCTCCTGACATCCCACAGTGACAAATTTCCCTATGTTCCTTTCAGTGTGATGAGGCCTGACCATTAGGTTTCTAGTGGGATTTTTAATCCTCATGTTCATTTGGAGCTGTCTCTGGTGCAACCATTCTCACAGTGGGTTTGTTGGGTTTTTTAATTGTAAAGCTGTTCACCAGTAGCAGGGATGGCTACTGATTTCTCTCATATGGGTCATTGACCAGACACCAGATGGTGGAAATATTCTGTTCCTACTAATCCGGCCAAGAGTTGGCAATTCAGAGGTGAAAATCTTTATCCCATTACCAACTGCCAGAGCCATCCTGTCTCCAACTTGCAGGCTAAAGATTAAACAGGTAATAGTCTTGAAGTAACTACCAGTCCCTCAAATATCCCATCTACTGCACATCCCAGACATCTATTGGGCAGATCTAGGAGGAGATACATAAACATCAGTGCACTTTGTTGAATTTAAATTCTACTTAAGGAGGAATATAAAAAAAAAAAAAAAAGCCAGGCTGCTGGTAGAATAACAGCATCAATTGGGATAGTAGTACTTATGTAACAGCTGGAAGGAAAAGTTTACTGCAGGTAACTGTGAGAAATGCAATCTGGAAAAATGGAAAGGGGCATCATAACAAGGAAATGCAAACACAAATAAAAGGCAGGAAATAATAAGATGCAACTCCTTTTTGCAGGTTGCAGAAAAAAAATCACAGTGTAACGCTACACAGTCATAACATCTTAATCAGTTCTGAACAGCAGAACTAGATTTTTTTGGTGAACTTATGCCTCCTATCCACACAATCTTCTTTGCCTCTGCACAAATATTTTGCTCTGCTGCACATTCTAGCTTTTAATTTTTATACATTAGACTTCTCTGTTGCATGCAAAATCACTACCAAAATTTATATTTTCCACCATAAATTGCTAGAGGAACTACTGTTACATTTGTGAAAATGATACCAAACATACAACTTGGAGTTCAAGGTAACTGCAAATGAAACAATTCAAGGAACTCCTGAGTCTGTCTATATCCAGACTCAATCACTGAAATTCTTTAAAAATGAAAATGTATTTAATACCAATATAAATTTTGAAAATACGGGAACACAAGAGGAAGAAGCTAGTAGGTTATTTTTTACATGTAGATATGTTTACATTTCTGTACATTACATCTGCATATATTTGGATCAATTTTCCTTCACTCCTGCAGAAAAACATGATTCAGATTACATATCATGATCTTATAAAATTCTATTACACTGTAACTACCTTATCTAATTATACTCTTATACCCATCTGGAAGATTTGACTATTCAAACCTGTCAAGCAGTGCACAAAGAACTTATTTACAAGGGAACCATGAAAGTAACTATAAAATCTGCCCCTGAGAGATGGGAAAGGGTAAGCATAGCTCCTTGGTGCTATATTAATGCCTTAGTATTCATTCCTTACTTCCTATTTCATATAGCTTCACTTACAGCAGGCACAGAAAGTCGTGCAGTATATATAAGTACTTGGTTGGCTTTATTTATGATAACCTGCTTAATTCATCTACAACTATGATGTTTCTAAGGACTGAAAATACCCCATCTTTTGTCCATAAAGTCATCATAACACATCACACTATGTGTCATATTAATAATAGTAAAAAACACTCTTCTAAGGTAGATTACATAAACTGGAATCTCTCACGGGTAATTCTTTTTCTTGAAAATAATTAGGCCTTGCCAAAAATTTTTAAATATTAAAAATTCCTCAAGTATACAGTTTTTGATATTTGGACTGCAGCTAAAATTGGTTAAGGTTTTAATTTATTGCAAATAATTATTTAAAATGCATGACATTTTCTTTCTTGAGCTTCAATAATTAGAGTGATGTCTTCTGCCAAAATCTCCTGTTTATACTAGTGTAGCAAATGTGGCTCGAGTGGATTAAAATAAACAAAGTTAGAGAAGTACTATTTTCTTAATGCAAACTTCAAACCTGTTAAAAGTATCCCGCAAGTATAGTATACTGGCACTCCTCTGTTAGCTCTGTGCAAAAGCAGCAACATTAGATCTTTCCTCTACTGATCAAATTAACACAAATTAAAACATCATGAAAAGGAATGTGGAATTGGAAAATAAAGTTTCAAAAAAGATTATGAATTTTCAGTACCTTGTAGGTAATACTAGAAACTCCGATTTTTTCTTTAATTTGGAGAAGACAGCAGCAAAAAGTAATTTAAAAGAAAATAGGCTAAGGAAGATATTTAGAAAAGGTATAAGGATGCTTAAGTAAGAGGACTGTTTATCCAGGCCCCGATGTAAATGTAAAACAGGTGAGAGTATGCATATCAAAAACAGAATCCAAGGAAGATATATAAATGAAGTGGGAATTCTTCATGGAAATGACTGCAACTGAGCCCTAAGATGATTAACCTGTTAATATTAGCAGCTAAATGATCCGTGGTCATTGCTAAGTAGCTAGGGTACAGTTGTGTGCTGCTGAAAACAGAACTGGGCCTTTGACAGAAATTATATTACTACTACAAAATCTGACCCCTATGTGGACTTGCAGGATAGCTTCTTTTCAGAAGATGTATTTAATAACCAGGCCCAGTAGCAAAAATATTATTCTGTTTGACAGCCTTGACTAAACAAACCAGTTGCTCTGCCCTTTAAAAGCTAAACATAAGATGACAACACATAACAAGCGCTTCTGCCACTTCTGCCACTGCGTCAGCACCCAACGTAACCACATTTAGTTGGCAATCTTCTAAATCCATTTCAGTATCTAACCATGTGCTCCTGACAAACTTCACAAGAAAGCAAGAAAGATCTGGTTTAGAAAGTCCAAGCATTTTTAAGTGTGCATCATCTGGTAATTGTCACATCCTCTAAAACAACATATTATCTGTTTCCTTTGATAGAATTTTTTGTCAGCACACACAGCTCAAAGAAAGTAATTTTTAAAAACGCTTATTGACAATATGTACCTGGATATCCACCGCTGAAATGCTCAGATGAGTAAAACAACCATGTATATATTAAACACTATGCACACAGAACAGCTTGAACTGAAACTGCAACATCTGCAAAAATGAAGGTAAGAGCGACGTTAGGATGATTAAGCAAACAGAAAGGCTATCCTGAAATAGGAGAATAAGACTGTTACGTTAGCAAAATTAAAATGTTGAGAGGATAAAATTATTCTCTTATGGCAAATAGACATGATAGAAGGTGAGAACTGTTTAATCTATAGGGTAATATTGTCACTAGAAGAATTAACATTAATAAATTTAGACTGGGAATTGGAATGGTGAAAGACTTTTATGACTTTTCAGATCAATATGTTTATTAAACTTTTGAGACAAAACACTGCCTGACCTAAGGACATAATTATATATTTGCAGTTAATTTTTAATGCTATCAAATGCCTTCTTTGTATTGCAGATGTGTGTCATAAACTAGTATCTTATAGATCACCTTGTTTTAACGTTTGATGATACTGTAAAATGAAAAGCAGGTCACAAAAAGTGGTAATGTAGCCTCTGATTAAATCCAGATAGTCTTGGAGTTATTCAGACACTGAGAAAGTTCTTTAATAATCAAGTTACAATTTAAACTGTCGTGCCCAGTTAACTTATTGAAGAAAGGATGTAATTTGTCAAATCCTGCCCTCTCATCCCCCAGAATTGAGACTAAGGTACAGTAGGTAAAAAAACTTCAGCCAAGCCAAAATTTACATGCCTATAACAGGGGGAGATTAAGTCCCTATTTTACAGGGATGCTGGGAGGTAGCACAAGAAAACACACTTCAATACAGAATTTATGATGGGAAGGAAGAGCAAAGTGAGTGGAGATGTGGAATAAACCTCATTTTCCCCTCCATTTATCACTAAAAGAAGCCATTTTTCTCAACAGCTTTATGTTTATTCTGAGATGTGATACCAGATGAAAGAGAGAACCTGAGTAACACCCAAGCCTCAGGAGTACTAACGCTATTCATACTCAGCTAATAATCTGGAGCCAGCACGGATTTTTCAGCCAGTTTGAGCATCACACACTCATGACCGTGCTTCGTCATTAGTAGCCTGCAGACACGGTGGGGAGCAAGGGCTGCGAGGTTCCTGCTACAGCATAAACATCCGAGGATAATCCGACGCCGGCAAGCTTTCTTTACGGTGCGCAGCACCAAAGTGGAACGCCACGCGGCCCCCCCTCCACAGCCCCGACCGCGGCCTGCAGGGCCCGCCGGGGCAGCGGCCCGCCTCTCCGCTTGCTCCGCGGCGTGAGGGCCCGACACCTGCGCCACCGGGCGGGCCGCGGGAAGCGAGGCGGCCTGCTGAACCCTGAGGAGGCGTGGGAGCGTATCAGGACGAGGAGTTTTTTCCCCACGAGCAGCCGGACCCCGACCGGCACAGGTGGGGCACGGCGGGGCGGGGCGCGCTGGGCCCGGCAGGCAGGAGGGGGCGGTGGCCTGAGGGGCGGGCGGGGCGGGGCGAGGCCGGGAGGGGCGGGGCGCGAGGCAGCCGCAGCAGCAGCACCGGCCGCCAGGGGGCGCCGCGTGCCGGCGCGGCGCGGCGGGCGGGGCGGGGCGGGGCTAGGCCCAGCATGCAGCGCGGCGCCGTTTGAATGGCGCAGGCTCCGGGCGCTGGGCCCCGGCGGTAGGGCTCCGTGGCTCCTCCTCCTCCCCCCTCGGCGTGGCCCGGCCCGGTACCATGAGCGGCGCGTGAGTGAGCGGAGGGGTGTTGAGGTTCCCGGGGTCGCGGCCGAGAAGCTGCCGCTTCGAGCCGACCGCGGGCGGGGTCCCTCGTGGCCGGGGGGGTGGGGGTGTGGGCCCAGGGCTGCGGGCGGCGGGGCCGCCTCCGTCCCGCTCTCGCGGTTCCCCCCGCCGAGCACCGCTGGCCGAGCCGGGCGGCACCGCGGGGACCCCCCCGGGGGCTCCTCCGGCCGGCGGCAGCAGCTCAGCGAGCCCGCGCCGGCAGCTCTGTCTGCTCTAAAATGGTGACAGCGGCCGCAGGCGCGGGCAGGCGTGTGCAGGGGAAGGCAAGTGCGCGGAGGGGAGGGAAGGCTGGAGCGCTCCGAAAGGGAGGGTAGCGGGCTGGGTGTGAGGCCTGCTGACGGGTTTTATTCCCTGGGTGTGACAGATTCCAGTGGGGAAAAAGGGCGGGGGGGGGGGGGGGGGGGGGGGGGGGGGGCGGGGGAATCTTCAGATGCTTGAAGATCAGATCCTGTATTAATTACTTAGTTAAAAAGCCGCCTTCCCCCACCACCCTGCCCCGTTGTGCTGCAGTGGCTTGGCATGGTGTTGGATGTAGACTTCAAATAAATTCTGAGTAGTGAGATATGTTAAGGAGATTGGGAGGTAGTTCTAGAAACTTTTTGTTGCAGTGTTCGTAACATGCTGTGCTTTGGAGCAAGGTTAAGTCAGTTTGCTTAAAAACGACTTTATTCCAACTCTTCTTGGAACATGACTCTTGCCTTCTCAACTCCCGTGTTTTTATGTTCCTTCTATTCTCTGGTTGTAATCAGGAAAGGAAAGCAAAAAGGTAATTGCTTGTGTTTAGTAGAATTAAACCATAACAGAAGTCAGGTTAGTGCCTCTTCGGCCTTGCTGACTGGAAAGAACAACTTGTTCTAGTCAGAAGCTGTCACATTAATTTCTTATTATTAGTGCATCTAGTTTTGATGAAAATTTCTGTAGTGTTATTTCATTGAGCTTAAGTTACCCTTAGTTTGAATTCCTAAACTTTCAGAATTTCATTATGCTATCTTAGAAATAATATTAAGGTGTTTTATATATATATTAAAAAATCATATGTGTGAGTATACTAACACGTATGTATTATTGCAATAGTGTGTGTATATATTCTCTCTCACCCGGTTTTGAAACTTCACTTTTTAATATATTTCCATTGGCATAATTTAAACAAACTTTTTAAAATTTTAACAGTTTGGTGCATTGATCCCAGGGTAAGGTGACTGGGTATGAATTAAGAAGGCTTTTTAAATACTATGAACAGACTACAGTCAATAATAGAAGTGTATTTGAGGGTAGCATAAGAAGTTGTGTGATCCTAAGCTATGTGAAGTGTAGGCACAGAGTATGTTCAGCCAAGTGGGGATGAGGTGAGTACCCGTGCCTCCACTAAATTTGGAGCTTGAGGGATTTTCCAGTATGTCTTGCTCTAGGTTTTAATTTAAAATTCTTGTTGCAGGTTTTTGAAGCTCTTTGGGTTGAGCAATGAATTGAAAAAAAAATTCCCATATTTAATTTGATGAGTAGTTTCTTAAAGACTTTCTAAAATATTAATGTGGGAGCTTCAGCATATTGGAACTTTATTTCCTATATAACAACTCTCAGATAATGTTGTTAATAGAAATTTTCCAACCTTATTTTTCCTAGGGTGAAAATGAACAGGTAAAAGCATCTTTTCACTAGTGAAGGGTGACTTCAGAAAGGACTAAAAGACTGACAAGTAATATTACTTTATGGCAGTTTAACGTATCTGTAAATGGGTAGGTAGCTCCAGTTGCAGAAAATTGGGTACTTGTTTACTTGAACATTTTCTAGAAAAAATTTTTTCCAGAATGTGAATGAGATTCAGTTATTAAACTCTTAGGTTAGTTCCAGAAGGAGAGAGAACTTGCACCTGGATTCATCCTTAGTAAACTTAACCTGACTGACTTGTGGTCATTTTCAGAGGTTCATTAGGACTGCTTGTGCCAGTGGGCCACGTACAAATTCCATATGTAAGAGTAATAGGAAAATGAGCTTAAATTGTAGGAATAAGCTAACTTACCACAGCTAGTTACTCAAATAGTATTCATCTCCACTGCAAATTTGATGAAATTCCTGTAATTTTTCTCCACACATTAAATTTTAAACTGGAACAAAAGGCCTGACAGGTATAGCACATTAAAAAACTTCGTCCTGCTGGCATGTAAGAAACACTTTTTATAGTGTTGCAGAAAAATTTTTTCATTAGCATACTCCTTAGAATCTTGAACTTTAATTTTCTTTAGGAGAATTTAGTATTTAACACCTGGTGAATTGTCAGGGCATAAATTACTGAAAAAAGAATTTAAAAAAAAAAAAAAAACACACAACCTGTTTTATATTCAAAGGATGTAGAAGCCATCTAAAAATGAGAGGCAGATGGATTCTGTAACATTTGTCAGAGTTAAAACGAAAGGAAATTATGCCAAGCTTACAGAATCACTTCTACATCATAAGATAGTGCTGATTTATTTTTGTAGACAAATTACCCTTTTGGAAGTAAATTTGGAATAGCCATTCTTGGAAGTTTCTCATGAGCATTTTTAATCTGATAATGACTAGTGAGATTAGTTGACCATTACTGGTTCCCTGATGTATACCTGTTCTGAATGCATTCAAAGCATGAACTCCCCTTCTTGGGGAGTAACAATTAAGTCTTTCATCTGAGTTTAATATTGTCATCCTTGAACTTGCACCTGATTTAGTATGGGGTGGGGGAGAGTCATGGGAACATCTGCAATAGCTAGTGCATGTGGAATGCTGCAGGGAAAAAACAGCTGTTATGAATTTGGGCAAAGAGTAGGACAGGAAGGATGTTTGTTTTAAAGGGTATTGCTGATGTCTTAAAAAATCTAGCTATTTTACATTAGCTTTGCTGTCATGCAAACTACTCCAGTCTGCGTTCTGTAAGAAATTAATGTTATGTTAATACATGTGTAGGTTACATAACATGCGAAGAAATGTTTGTCCCTCTCTGGGGGCCGTGCCCAGAACACAGGATGATGGGAGGGAGTGGCAGAGTTGTTAATACTTGCCTTTGATAGATAGGCACTTGAAAGTCTTTTAATGCTGACTTTCTTTACACGATTCTGGTATGACCTGAAGAGTTGTATTGCATCTGGGAGAGATCGGAGTTGGAAAATAGCAGTAGACCCACCAAGAAAACTTTGCACAGGTACTAGCTATGGACTGTGGGGACAACTGAGCTGATTTACCAGGATATATGGCTGCTGCTACTCTAGTACTACTGTTTCCTGAAAATTGAGGAGAGTAAGATGGGGAGGAAGGAGGGTTGGTATCTGCTATGAGAAGTTACCCATGTTATGGGGAAAATTGGTGGAATGTGAGCCTATCATCTTAATGAAATGGTGCATCTCTGTTCAGATTTGTAGTCTACTTTGTGACGGTTATAAACCAATTTGGGCTTATATGATGAATGGCTAAGGCAGAGCTGAAGGGACTTGTGTTCTATCCTTAGTTTATTTTTAAAATTTTGTACAGCAGAGGAGTTGCACTGGCCTTAATGAGATGATATAAGAGATTGTTCTGAATACAACTAGCTCTGCTCATCACAAGGGAGTAGGCAAAAATTCAAGATGTTAAGGTATAGGTTGTTTGGTCCTCTACAAATTAGTATCTAATGCCAGTTTAAAAATCCTCCATATATATCCCAAAATAAGTGGGTGGTAGTGTCTAATTAGCTATCCCTAGATGATATCATTTGATAGCAGATAGGAAATGAAAGCTGCAGAGCCCTGTAAATTGCCTTTCATCCTCTAGCATTTGTCTTTTTAACTGCTGGCCAGAGAGTACTTTATCATGTGTTACTAAACCTTTGGAAGCATGTTTTTTGAGAAGTGGACTAAGTTTATTATAGCAGTGTTAGGTTTAGGTGTACCAGATTCTTCTGCTTGTATTCTGCTCTGTCTCTGGGCTACCTGGATTGGGTTTCTGTATTGAATCCACTTTGGTGTCTATCTTTTTTAATGAATTTTCAGTTTACCCTTGAACCCATGTAGACATTTGGGTCCACAACATCCTGTGACAAGTTCAAAGTGATTATAGTTTGCACAAAGAGCTACCCCCATTTGTTAGTTTTGAACCCGCCTTCAGCTAGTGTATTTTGACCCTTCATTCTTATATTGGACAAGACCGTGAATAATCTCTATGCAGCTTCCCTGAGCCATTAATTTTGTAGGCCCTTGTCTTATGTCCCACCTCTGCTACAAGAAGCCTCCTTTCCAGACTGAAAAAGCCTAATCTATTCAGTTGTTGAATGTAAGGAAGGTGTTCCATATTGTTTTTTAACTTGCCTTTGAACTCTTTTTTACTTAGTCTTTTGAGTTTTTGGGGTGCTTTTTTTTTGAAAGGATGGGGACTGAGCCTGGACTCAGTATTTGAAACACAGGTAGGAATTAGTTCTATATACTGTCATGACAGTGTTCAGTTTATTTTTCTAACTATTTATTGTTCCATATGGAGCACCGAGCAATGCAGATGATCTAAAGTAAACTGTCATATCCAGATCTTGTTGTGGGTGGCAATTATTAGCTCAGAGCCTGTAATGTTCTATATGGGAACCCAGAATTTCCTCATGCCTGCAGACACTCAGGCTTTGCTTTATATTAATCTATAATCATTGCTTCTGCTTATTGTACATCAGTCCTTCTCTAATTCTTCAATTAGCCCTCATTTTTAGTGTCTGATATAACTTTGTACTGTCAATGGTCATAATCATTTAACTCCTCATCCCTCTTGTGAGGTAATCTATGAATATATTGAACAGCATAAACCATGCAATTTTTTCTGCAGGGTTCCTTTGGTGGCTGCAGTCAGTGTGGGAATTGCTTGGACAGTTTATGACTCTTAGCTATTTCTCCATGCAAAAGCTTTCCCTCTAATCACTTGGTTGCTTAGTTTCCTGAAGATTTAAGTGAGGGACTTCTGGAAGCTCTTTAGAACCTCAGGTAGACTCTATCATTTAGCTGGCCTTTATCCATGTTGTACTACTTTGTACTCTCAATTAATTCCATTAATTTTGCAAGGCAGGACTTGCCTTCACAACAGCCAGGTTGAATCTTTCCCAATACACTATTCGTTCGTGTCCACTGATTCTATCCTTGATTACATTGTTTACTAATTCTCACAACAGAGATGTCAGTGTGCATCTTCCTTTAGGCTACCTTTAAATACTGACTATATATTCCACATGTGATTTCTTGGGTGCTTTGTCAGCTCTAAGGGAGAAGTTCTGAACCTTGGTTAACAACACAGCTGTTTCATTACTGCTTATATGCTCACTGCTGCATTCTGCATCATGAGACCCTCACAAAACTGGCTAAACTATGGAAACCTCTTTAAACTATAGAACAGTAAACACAGATGTAAGGATTTTACTTCAATTTTACTTCACTTGATCGGATATTCCTTTATATCTGATCATCTGTTGGCCTTTTGGGGTTTCTGTTCCCAGTCTTTAAAGAGGGAATGGATACTGTGTTGTCTTTTCCTCTATAAACTGGGAGGCATGGGGGCATTATGTTTTATATCAAATTAGTCGGTGTCTCTTAATTTTTCTCCTGGATACACTCAACTTTTTGTAGGGAACTTCCTTCCCTCCAGGATAATACCTCTCTAGTTCAGATACCTCCAGGTGTTTTGAGATGTTGTCTTAGGCTCTTTAGAGCCCAATATTAAACACTGATATGCTAATTGATTTTCCTTGGTAAGACATTTCTTTCTAGCCTTCTGATATTTTACACTTGTATTAAGTAAAAAGCATTCTAGCTTAACAGTTCTCTTAGGTACTGGAGATAAGATTCTTGCTGCTTATCATGAAAGAGGAGGGTAGTTTGAGGTCACTTATTAAAGAAGTGAGTAAGGAGAGATCACTCATGCATGAAGAGTTGTAAACTGTCAGTGTGTCATGGGAGTAGTCACAAAATTTATTCTTCAAGAACAGAGATTATGGATTTCTTTTAAGCATCTGACAGGATGATTCTGTGGGGTTTAGCTCTGGTGGTTGCAGGGTATACTCCCTATTCTCGAGTTTATTGCTTTCCCCTCTGCAACATTCTCAACTAGGAGATTAAAAAAAAAAAAAAGTCCTCCTAGTTTTCTGCCTTCGTCAGCCTTGAATGTAAGGCTGGATTTCTTTGGATTTTAGGGTTGTTGGGTTGGGCTTTTCTTCAGAAGTTTAGTTGTTTATCTTGTGCTCCAAGTTCAAATCTTAACATACAGCCCATTTTGAGTCCAAACAATGGTTTTAACCAGTCTGATAAGAAGATGAGTTGTTTCTTCTTATGGCTTCTTTTAAACTTCAGGAAAAAAACACAACTTTTTTACTGTTTATTTATAAGCCTGGTGGCTGGAAGCCCTGGAAGTGTAGAACACTCACAGGGTGACAACTATTCTGTCACCATCCCATAGTATGCAGGAAAGGAGTCAAATTAATGAACAAGTCTTAAATCAGCCTTGTGTCTAGAAAAGTATGGATCACCAACTGTTAAAGGTCTTGACCTAAATAATGCTGCCATTTGCAATGCATGCTCAAGTCATTTACCCGAGGGTTCCATGTTCCCATCTTTTACAGGATAAGGATTTCTGTCAGTAAATCTTCATTTTTTTGAGCGCAATCTCAAATGAGATTCCTTAATACTGACCCTGTTCTAAATAACTTACAGATTTAAATAATTTGGTTTTGTTTCCTCTGTATCCTACAATATGGAATTTAATATGCATTATGTGAAGAATATACCTTCTACTTTGTTTTGGTTTGTTTGGTGGCCTTTAGCTACTGCACTGAAAGATGTTCTGTGGCTAATAAGCTGTTTCCCATCTGGCTTTTTCAGTGCTCAGTGTCTTAGTATTTTAAATACGGAAGTTCTTAATGCGAGATAAATCTGACACATAAAGGAAAAGGGGTAGAACTTGGTACTAAAGGGGGAGGGGAGAGATTGGGTCACTCATGTTGGGACCAGAGTTTTACTATTTAGGGGAATCAATAAAATTAAAGCAAGTAATTGACTTTTAAAAGTAAGGTAGGCTGACTTGCTAAAACATCTTGAGAGTAGTTAGTGCTCCATGATGATGTAGTTTTTGAATCTAATCTTAAGCAATGGATTTTCTGAATCGCTTACAAAAAAATGCAAAACAGTATGTACAACTGTCTCAGTCTTGGTTTTGATTCTTGATTCTGTGATTTGCATACTTCAAGACAAAGTAGTCTAGGCATTTTCTTACTGGTTAACTGTGGAATAAAAATTTATTTTTTTTAATATGAAAAATAGCCAAAGTTATATGCTGAGAAAAATGAACGGGTGGTGGATTTGCCAATAAATTAAGGGGAGATCTTTTGCTTCCATTTTTTTTAACCTTTGCTATTTTGGTGAAGTTTGCCTTTTTCCTGAAAAACAGGAATTATTTGGCTGCCTTTCTTCGATCGACAACAGTTGTGGGATCAATCATTTTTCTCTAGGTGACAGATGAAATTCATAGTGTGAGATGTGGAGGAAGGAGTATCATAAATTGCCTTATTCTTTACTTGAATTCTTGTCTGTATGGCACCTCTCAGTGCCAGTGTACTAAGCTGGTCTGGAAACAGGACCTCTACGTCTTTCTTTGGAGGGGCTTGAGTTTGTCCCCTTTTTTTTTGGAAAACTAAATAGGAATTTTGAAGCACTCATCTGTATGTTAGTAATAATAAGGTCTCCCACTAACACTTGCCAAAGTACGATGTCTTGGATTATTTATATGATGGGAACATCTTGTGAATAATTGGTACTCTAACTGGTTTAGCCAGCTGCATTTGAAGAAAGTTAACTGAATGTTTCAGAAAATATAACTAAATATCTTTCCCTTGAAAACAGTGATTTGAGAGATTATGGCATCTGAAGCCCACAATGTTAGAAAACAGAAAGTATTACATATTGAAGGGCATCCCGTTGATCTCCCCAGAAAAAGAATCTCTTCTTCCACTAAAAAGATCATGAAGGAGGTAAGCTGTTTTCTTGGATTTTTTTTATGTCCTCTGATGAAACTTAACTATGAACTTGTTTGAATGTTTACTTATGAGTTGTTTAAAAGTAGAAGCACAGCACTACTGGTCATTTTATGTTTAGATGTGCAGTAGAACTTTAGCATGAACAGCAATTATGTTATGAAAACTATGCATTATAATAGGCACAGGCAGTGACTGTACAGGTACATGCATCGTATTGTCCATGTGAGCAGTAGGTACTGGTATGGTTTTACTCATACCTGCTTTTCTGCAGTATAGCCAAGAACTGTTTCAGTAGAGGAATTCTATCATCAAAAAGCTCTCTCTTGCCAAGAGGACTACATGGCACAAGTGGGAGGTGGGGTAGGTGAAATACCCTGTCATCTTGTTACCATACAGCTTCACCTACCACAGGGTCTAGTAACACGTATACTTTCACTGGATTCTTGCTGGTCAGAAACATTTTCTCATAACCTCTTACCTTTGTTACTGGATGAAAAATAAGGCAGGGCAGTGTGGAGGAAACACTAGGGAGATAAATTTACTGTAAGATTGCTTCAGACAGTGGTGAAGATGACAATATGTCTGTTTGCTTACTAAAATTATGTATTAAAACCCACATGGTTTTATGACTTGGTGTTAACAAAATCATAGCATTGTTTTGCTGATGTGCACAACATAAGTGTTAGCAGTAGTATAAATTTTCAAGTTGAAATGCCTGTAGTGTATGAGCGTAGTACCTGTTTATATGAAAATGCATATGTCTAACTTGAACATCTTGGTGCTTTTTTTATTTTTAATAATTAGTTTACTAATGATAAAGTAGACCAGAATGTTACAGTTCAACTACTCTTCCTTACATGGACCTCTAAAACATTGAGGACTATGGTATAAAAAGACTTTAGAAATTCATCTCTGAATTGTGTTGCTTGACTTTTCAAAGGTTTTGCTAATCTGTGTGGCACAACCCTGAATAAATTTTGTGATTCCTCTAGAATATCACTGTTCTATGCAGCCTAACTGGTGTCAGAGTGCTAATCTGTTTCATATGAATGAATTCAGGATAATCAAGCTGGTGTTGTCTACAGCAGTCTTGATTTTTTGTTGTGCTTTGGTGGTGAAATGTTCTGCTGTCATGCTTCCCAATACTAGCATCTGCTATATTACAGGCCTTTAAATGTATGTGGGAAACAAGTAATGCAATTTTGCCATCAGATTCCGGTAGGCTTTTTATATTAGCCATGTTTTTAGTTTGCTAGTAACTAAAGAATCTCTGTGCTGTCATGGTCTCACCCCTTGCCAAAGATACCCCGAGCCTACAGCTGACTGTGGTGCTCCAAGGACAGGTGTGGCAGAGCTAGTTCATCTGTAGGTCACTGTGAAATAGTTGAAGATTATAGGAGGGCTAATGTAGCTGTGCTTTTGTTGGAGAATAGGAAGAGTGGGTGGAAGGGAGGGTATATGTGGCAAACTTAGGCCATGGTAAAGCAGGACTTTTTTGACAAACTGTGGGAGTATTTGAGCCTTTTTAGTAATAAAGCTTTTTTCTTCTCTATTTCCTTTCTGTCAGGGTAAGAAATCTCCAAAACAGCTGGCTTCATACACAAACAGGTAGGAGGGCTGCTCTGTGTAGAGTCTGAGTTTCAAGTGAGAGGGAGGCAGGGAGGAAACAGCAGTTTAAATCTATTACAGTGCCCAAGCAGAGACAAATGGAAGATAGATCTTAACTTTAATGACAATACTTGGTTCCTGTATCTACTTCCATAATAGTGCATCTCTGTATTAATAAAAGCAGGAGAAAAATATTGGTGGTAGCTCTTACTTCTGATAATCCAAATGTCATGGAAGTATATCTTGGGGATAAAATGTTTTAAATAACCTGCAAGTTGACTTCTGAATTCATAATGATATATTTTAATAATAGAAAGTATTGCTTAGGTTTAGAGTAACCTTCACTAAAATACTGCTTTATTATTGCAGAATAACAGTTGGAAAAACGGTGACCAGTCCCCTCTCTCTTTTCAAAGTAGTATATTGTAAAAGAAAAGTTCATTGTTATTCTCCAAAGCCTTGTTACAGAAAGAAACAGTTCCCTAAATCTAGGGGCTGTGACATGGCAAATAAAGAAAATGAACTGGCTTGTGCAGGGAATCTGCCAGCAAAACTTCATGACAGTCGTACACACTTGCTGAATTCTAGTGATTCTGGCTCATCTCAAACAGAAGGCCCCTCATCCAAATACAGTGGATTTTTTTCAGAGGTAAGTGTAGTTTATAGAAACTTTAGTTAAAAAAAAAAAAGTATTCCTTGTAGTTTCTTTGTGTGGTTAGATGTGAAAGTTTTCAAAGAAAATAATTTTTCTTAACATAGATTGGCTCAGGTCTTGTGACTTAGAGTCTGTGTGTCAGCTTACAGTGATACAGTTGCCAACAGTGGTAGTACTGCTAGTTTTCCCTATGTATCTGGGCACAGAAGCTCAGATCTGCCAGGCTAGTCTGCGTTAAAATTGTACCAGCACCAAATGAAAATGTTGGTTTGACCTGGTTAGGTTTCGTGATCTGGCATGACACACAGCCACATGCATGTTTATGGAAATGTGAAAGTGTTAGCGTATGGGTAGGGATAAGTTGGTGAAGTAGGATAGGACCATTTTCAAGAGCAGTACCAGCTTTGTGTGAAACTAAAATGTTTGTATAAGACTGTATTTCTTAAGATTGCTTGATGAAACCCAGTAAATGCTTGCAGAGCTTTTGAAACTGGATAAAAGTCAGATATTTAAATGAAACGGGGTTTGTGACAGTGAAGGCCTGTAGGTGTTTAAAGTGTGAGGTATGGCAGGGAAGATAAGACTGAAGACCTATCTCCATGCTGTCTTATCATGGTACTATAAACGTGGGCTGCCATGAAGAGACAGCCCTGAGAGTCCAGTGGGCTGGAGGCACATGTCTGTGGCACTCTTGCACTCCGTTAAATTTGATGCTTTCTAGGAAGGAGCAGCAGAATAGCTAGAATAGAAAGGTTGCAGAAAGAAGGGTAAAGAAACCAAGACTGGGGAAGATTCATCCTTTGAGAAACTAGACCAGATCATTGGCCACAGGTGACTATTTAACTGGTTTGAGAGATGTGGGTAGCTCTGCAGTGTTTATTCCAATACAAGGTCTATTTTAACAAAATACCTAAACTTCATTCCAAGAACAAGTGTTTTCAGAAATAAACTTTTTCTGTCAGAGTTCAGAATAATACACGTAATTACTTTTGTCTAGATTGTGTCAAAATTAATAAGCATCTAAGTAAAAAGTTCTCAAAGTTGGTGAGAATTACAGGTTGACGCTCATGAAAGCTCTATTCAATTATTAGATACCTCTCTTTAGGTATCTACAGACCTTATTCTTGCAGCTTTTGGGTAAAGTAGTCTTAATCTATTTGTGTCCACTTCTAAGGAAAATTTGTGGTTTTAAGGCCATTGTTAGGCAAATCTCTAAAAAAACTCCTCAGCATACATGTAGGAAAGTGTATTTTCATATACTAAATTCCTCTATTAGAGCATCTTATTGTGTTGTTGCTGACTACTTGTGGTAAATGTCTATATTTTCAAAAATATACAGGTTTCTCAGGACCATGAAACGATGGCTCAAGTTCTTTTCAGCAGGAATCTGAGGCTGAATGTAGCTTTAACCTTTTGGAGAAGGAGAAGTATGAGTGAACTGGTAGCCTACTTAGTGAGGTAAACTGAGTGTCTCTTGTTTTGTATGCTTAAAGTGGTATCAATCCCAAATATGCTGCAGTACTTTTAGGGGTTCCTGAAATGTTGTAACTTTGTTATGCTTCCACTATGATTTAATGAACAAGTATATGCTTCAACTTGTACTCTACTAGTAACATTTCTGATTTTATTCTAATGTTTCTAGGATACAGGATCTTGGAGTAGTAGTAGACTGCCTTCCTGTGCTTACAAACAGGTACAAACAAAAAGTGGGGGATAAGAATCTATTATAACCACACTGAAGTTCAAGCGCTTCTGAAACTTCTTGTCTTTTAAGTTTACAGGAAGAAAAACCATATATTTCAGTTGGCTGCTGTGTAGATCTTTTGCCTTTAGTGAAATCACTGCTTAAAAGCAAATATGAAGAGTAAGTATCAGTTTCAGATCTTTTCAAAACACATTTACTCCCTGGCTATGCGGTGCCCTAGAAATTAATGGTGTTTAGTCCTCTGACTCTTATTCCCTCTGCCCCTCCTCCCAGCCCTCCCTTTCTCAGGGAACACCTACCTGAAGGGGAGCTTTCCTGTGATCCTTTCGCCTTTTAACAACCCAGTGGTGCAAAAACTCTCTTGTGCAAGGTTGAGCACCAAGGAGGACTTGCTTTGCCCTTGTGCAGACTTAGTTATCCTAAACAATAAAACAGAATAGCACCAGGGTTTTAGTGTGCTTTATAACAAGGAAACAAGGCAAAATTTTCAGGCAAAATACCTGAAGAATATGTACTTTTTCAACAGGTGCTTCAGTTTATCACTTTGAAATGGAAAACATAGGCAAGTATTTAAACTTGCCAATTTGTCTAGATCTTTTTATCCTCTTAGAAAGCAACACATTTGCTATTCTAAGTTGCTTACCAATTTGTCTTGACACTTTAGCTGACCTGTAGATATTGGAGGGGGGAAGAAAAAAGCATAATGTGTAAAATATGTTCTTACAGATATGTGATAGTTGGTTTAAACTGGCTTCAGGCTGTCATTAAACGATGGTGGTCAGAACTATCTGCACATGCAGAAAAGGCAGAAGATGGGTGAGTATAGTGTTGGGAAATATTTAAATGTGTTTCTATAGTTTATTCCATCTCAATCTTCTTTAACTTTGATCAGTAGGAGCACACCTTATCTACAAAAGAAAAAATTATACTCACAATTTTAACGTAAAAGCTTAAAAGTACTTGAAGTTCTGTTCTTAAGACACAGGTGGTGTTTGGAACTTCAAGGATAGTCATGTTTTGGGGGTTTTTTACTGGAATTTTAATACATGTAGAAAACAGTCATATCAGGGCTTATACAAATGCTGTAGAAGTTGGATCAAAATTTTTCTGATATTGTGTCAATATTTATCATATAGAATAAGTTTATATGCAGTATTATGTGTTTCAGTCAAAAGATCTACTGAAATGTAGTATATATGTTACAAATTGTTATTTCTTTTTCAGAAATATTCATATTTTAAAACAACAATTAAGCGTATTATGGGAACAGGAGAATCATCTTACTCTGGTTCCAGGATATACTGGTAATATAGCGAAGGTAATCCAAGTCCAGTTGTGTTTAGTAATGTACATAGTTGCATCACTTGTGGTGTGCCTCTCATTTGATGTTACTTATGCTAAACTATTGACAGATAGAAACACCTTTACTTTCCACTAATGCTCAAGTATATTGCACAATTTTTACAGAAGTCTGGAGTGGATTCCCTAGGCTAATAGTAGTGTGGTTTAGAATGCTAACAATTAATTTTTTTTTATCATTTTTGTTTTCTTTACAGAGAAAGCATCTCCTTAATAAAATAGCTAGTAGAAATAAGCTTTAAAGTTGATGTAAAAAGTGGCCCAGATGAGTAGGTAGATGGTGAAAGGACAGGCCTTTTCTCTAAAATCTGCTGTACCTGTAAGTGAATGCAGCATGGAAAGTCTTCTCCCAGCAATGTTAGCATTTGCACATCAGATGGCTGGGGCAAGTGACAACATACTAAATTCTAAAGTTTATTGCTGGCCTAGTGCTTAGAAAATGCTGAGAAGCATTTGTGGAGAGCAGAAGAGTGTCTCCATCTGAAATAAATCCCCCGTTTGCCTTTCTTGGTATGTTGTGGTATCAGTAATATAATGAGTGTTTCTGATAAAAGCATGATTTGCTGCTCATGATACTCATCTCCATAAAAACGGCTTCCTGAGGTTGAGCGCTAAGAGTTACACTGAGAAACTTCACATGGAAGTACCTGATGAAGGTAGACAGTGAGAAAGGACTTAAAGCAGATACTTGGTTATGTGCAAGATTTGAGTGAACTTGAAAAGAACTTGGAGATTGCATGCTTTACTTACATCTGAAGGAGCTTTGTGGAATCTATAATTCTACAGAATTTGTCACTTTGATGTATCAAACAAATAATTTATTTCTTGTTCTGGGACTGCTGTGCACCTCTGACTTCAATTTTGATGTCTCTACAAGGATAATTACAAACTTCTTGCAGAGTTTCAGTCAGTAGGGATGCAGAACTGAGTTCTAACTCCCAACTGGTAGAGCAATGGGAGCTTGTAATACAGACTACCGAGTTCTTCTGGTAGATCAACACTGCAGTTACAGCCAGTGTCAGTTTGTTTTTCTAGGATTCAGGTTCACTTTCTGTTCATTTGCCTGCTTCTTAACACATGTCACGATAGATTTTGAACGAGTTGGGAGCAAAAAGAGTAGTCCAAGAATGTTGGAGGGATGGGATGAAGAAATACCACTCTTAAGCATGTTTCAAATACATTATCTCGTGATGTTTTTCTTTACTGTGCATTCAGGGAGCAGAGGGGAAACAGACTAAATTGATGGCTTTGGAAACTAATTTCACTGTTCTTGCAGGCTTCTTAGTATATAGAGAAATGCCATCGAAAGCATTAATTGAAAATAATCTTGGAGAGAAATTGTTCTGAAATTTGGCCTAAACGTAATTATTTTTGTATTATGGTCCTGATGGGTTACCCTCTCTCAGACATACAGTCAATGTTACAGCTATAACTAATGTGACGAACGCTTTCTCCTTTCTTTTCCTTCTAGGATGTAAATGCTTATTTATTACAGCTACACTGACATGATTGGGAAACTATGTGTGCTTATGTGGTGAAACAATCCCCTAAGTATTCCTGAAATATGTACTATTTCCAAAAGCCTTTTGAGAAATACTGGCAGAAGACAACTGAACTGTCAAGCTGTTTAATGAAACCACTAACAAAATCCTAACAATCTACTTCACATTGAAGTGGAAAAATGTCTAGTAGGAGCAACTTTTACTTCAGTGAGGTGAAAGTGCACTATGAAAACTGTATGCCTTTGCTGCATTTGGGATTCACTCAGTTACTAGGTATTCATTTAAATGCTACTGTATTTTACTACGTCTCATAAAAGAAGATGAATTATGCTGTCATGAAGGCAAGACAGAAGAACCAACAAAACAATCAGCATTAAGAACTTTTAAACGTTTCTTTCACAAGAGGACTCCAAAATGCACAACTATCTTTCAATTATAATAAAACCTTCAGAATATTCAATTACTTCTATGTTTTAATCAAATTATTAAAGACAGTTTTTGTTTGCACTATTGAGAAACTATACAGCAAAGATGCCTTAATTACTAGTGTTTCAAAAAGCCAATGTGTTAAGGTGCAAATAGCTATTATGTTCAGATTGTGATGAAAAACTACAAAAATCAGGGTTTCACATTGTGTAGTTAATGAAACGTTGCACATATACCAAGATTCATGTATGAAAAAATATTATAAATACCTGAAGTTAAGCTTGGATAAACAGTTATTGCAAATGTCAGCAGAATGGTGAATTTATGTCTAACAAATGTTTTTATATTGTACATGGATTTCTAACACAGTAATCTTGTTCTGTATCATTTAAACTACATGCAAATAAGTAAATATATTAAATGTATCTACTGTTTTTCTTTTCAAGTTCATAAAAACAATTTCTAGAATAATCTCTTCCACAGTACTTTTTATCATAGATATTTATGTCTATTGTTTGAAATGTTTACAGCCAGAGAGGCCATGTTATTCAAATCGCACCCTTTTTATACTACCTCCTTCAAGAAACTGACAAAGAGCTTTTGCAAAATTAATCAAGTTCTATCCTGATGAATGATGCAAAGTCATACCAACAACAGCAATGAAAGTGCAGCTATAAACTCTTTCACTGCCCTGTTGCTATCCTGTAGTATTTCAATGTAAAAGCTATAGTTTAATAGCTCTGAGGGAGTTTGGATTTTTTAGGCTCGCTATTGCCTCCTTTTTATTTGTGATTAGGAAGCATGCTTTTCCAATTAAAATTTATGAAGTGCCAGTTGTTCACTTAAAACATAAATATACATGCACAGCATGTATCACCAACTTGTCTGCTTCCTTAAACGTAAGTACTTCCAAGGGTTGCTTTCATACCTAGCATTAAGCATATGCACTTTTATTGATGTGCAGGAGAGAAGACTTTCGATAGCCCCAAGTGGTTTTTGCTTTACAGATTAAATAAATGAATTTTAAACTGTAGTGGTCAACAGCTTTAGGCCTCCTGTTGCTTCATTTTGTATTGAATTTACGTATCATTATTGCTGACTTCTAAAGGCCAACTAGAAATCTGTCACTGGAACTTGGTGCTTCTAGTTATTTGAATATTCTTTAAACCACCAAAGGCTTTGCACTTCCCAGGGCAGTTGGCTACAGGGAAGAGTTTCTGGGACATCCCAAAATGGAACTCTCTGGGACAATCTCAAGATATGCACATAGCCAAGTTCTTTTTGCTAGAATTGTTATGTACTATTAGAGATTTCAGAATCAACCAGTTTTAGATAGAACTTACTACTTTCCAGATGGTCTTGCTGTCAATTAAGAAATTAAAGTTACTACAGTATGAGGACAGTCTTGTATTGCTTTACTGTTGAGCACTTAAATGTAAAAGTAACATAAAGACTAGCTTCGTAATCTGGGTAGCAATTGCTGAAACTTGGACTATTCCTCAAGGAGAATACTGTAAAGGTGATGGAAACTCAGATCTTACTTTCTCCTGGGTTTTTTTAATAGACAGAGTAACTCATGGCCATTAATTTTTGATAATACAAGAAGTAATCATTGTAATTTATTAACTTTAAATACTCTAGTATTCAAAAATCCACCTTCAATGTAGATGTAAACACGTGGGCTTGTAATGTAAATCCATGGCCATGTGCAGATTTCCAAATCATAACTGTGGATGGTGCTTTTGTTCTAGTTGTAAGATAAGATTGATTTCAGGATTACTAATGAGAAATATCTAATAAAATGCATTATTTTTAACTGCCAAAAGTTGTGTTTTGACAGCATCAATAATACAGTATTAAACATTAAGTCATTAGTATCTGTGCCTTATTTTAAATTAATTTTGTTACTGTTTTCAGGCAGCTACTAGACTTTAAGAACAGGATTCTGGTGTCTCTCCATTATGAAATAATTTTTCTGTTATGATCTGATGCTCAGGCACAGCTTGTATGCTCTAGTTCTCAAATGGCTAGGAATCAGTTTTGCTGTAACAGAATGTATATGTATGATATCTGCTCAAAGATGACATAAGTGAAATGTCTTAATAGCTGTGTAACTCCATGGAATCCACATAGTTGTCTCAGTGAATCTAAGAATTAAGTTTATGAACAATCATGTCTGTAAATGCTAATCTTTGTGGTACTTTCTGAAAATGCTGTTTCTAGGACGTGCCAAAAGATGCAGGCAGAATTAATCCTTTATCCTGTATGTTCTTGTGATGCAGAAGCATATATATACTTGAGGATGAGGGATGTCTCTGCAAAGCTGCTGTTCATGTTGTTATTACTTGATACAAAGTTAATGTATTTGAAAAACTGTATGTCGCCTCCCTGATCCCTGAGAGTACTTGAGGCTGTTTTACTGAAAGAGTTTTTATTTGAAGTAGGGTTTACCCATCCCCTAAACTGAAATTAAAAAATCCTTCTGGAAACTACCTCTTTCTCCAAAGCTAAAAAAAAAAAACAAAACAAAACAATATTCTGTTAATATAAGAATCAAAGCTTAGGTATTGCTGATAGCTTGCTGAAGAGTGGAGATGGAAAAAGCTACGCCATTAATTAGCTGGGTACAAAGAAGCTAGTATGTCTTAATGATTATGGATAGCTCCATTTTGAAGGAGTTACACCTCTTTCTTAGTAAAGAGTACTCTACAGTGAAACACTCTTGTATTACACAGGTACTGCAGTTCCAGGCTACTTAATAGTACTTACAAATTATTGCTGCTATTGAAAAATTAGCATCAGCCCTCCAGGAGCTTACCTTCTGCTGTGAGATACAATTAAAATGATCTTTCCCTTTCTGTAGGCTGCCTTATTGTTATCAGAGGCTGCAGTTCTAACACTTGGGGTACAGAAGGGATGGGAGAATAGGAAAGGACAAAAAGAGCACTCGTGCCCTGTGATGAGGGACATCAGCCCCACTGCATTATACCATATGTATCTTAAAGCAGGCTCTAGTTTTCATTTTGGGGTGCATGAAGTAGGCAGCTTTGAAGTTACAGGTCTTTATGCATCTTTGCATTGACGAGATAAAGGTTTTGAAGATGGATGCTATAGTGCTGATTTGTAGTGTGTTCTGGGTTTTTTTTTCTTGAAATGGTGAACGCTTTTGTTCATAGAAACTTGAAAGTATATTGTGCAAAGCTTGCATTTTGAAACTAGCAAGTGGTTGCTTTTGCCAGTTCATCTTGCCAGATCTTCCAGTTTTACAGAAGACTGAATGTCTGTCAGTGTGGAGATTTGCAGTTACACTTTTGTGCCCTGTTTCTTGGTACAAAGGGAAACAGGTGGTTCATAGTCAACTATTTCAGAATACAAAACCATGCAAATCATGCTACTGGTGTGAAGTTATTCCAACTTTTGTATAATGCAAATTCTTTAGTTTATGAAAGCAGTTGGTTCTTATGTGAAGGAACTTTATATTGAACTGATGTTGCATTAGAAGAGGAAAAAAAATTAAGCAGTTATTAATAGCCTTGGTAAAAGCCAGACAGCATGGTTTCATTTCTGTCTTCAGTCTGCCTTCCTACACACAGTAATCATTGTAGGCTACAGATAAAGATTCACTCAGAGAAGATTGAGCATGCTTGTGTTGTTAGTGCTTATATTATACTACTTTAAACAATTTGTTTATTCCACATTAGCTAAATGGCTTGGTCTTAGAATGAGACCAAATGCACGTATTTATTTCCCCCCCACGCATTCATTCTTCAGCACTTGATGTTATGTCTTCCTCTTCTAGTTTAAATATACTGTGAGTATCTATTGTTGGAAGTGGGGAGGGGAGGATGAAAATTCTAGATAAAACAGAGGGCTAGCTATTTAACACTATTCATTTTGAAGCAATTGTGAAAATTTTCCCTTTAAAACTTTTCACACATTTTGTTAATACCTACTGAAGTGGGCGCTCATGGCTGCAAGTTTGAGTTTGAACTTGGAAAAAAAAAAAATAAAGTGTTTTCACTCTAACCATAGCTGCAGTATTTTTCTTTTTTTTTTTTTTTTTTTATTGAATACTAAACTGGACTCTGATACTAACCTGCTGTATGGGAGGCAGGAGGTGTAGCACTGTCCCTTGGTGGGATAGAATAGAAATGATCACAGACTTCAACTGTTGCAGAGCTAGAATATTTTTGTTTCCAGACATGCTAGAATTTTGTGGTATATATGTAAATTGTAGCTGCTGATCATATTGCTTTAAAATGAGATCTGCTAACTTTCACATTGAATGTGGTACATAGTAGTTTCCAATTCATACAGATGACTTTCAGTTACTTGGAGCGCTACAGTGTAGATGAACAACTGCTGAGGTCTGAAACATCTGTACTTTGCTGTAGAAATACAAGGATGCCATGTTCACATTTTCCACTCCTCTTCTACCTCCCCATTCCTTAATTTCAGTGCTTAAAGCAGTTTCAGTTCCCTTTCGCAAGTGATAGCTGCCAAAACACACGTGATAAAAATGCTTTTACAAATATGCTTATGACTTGCTTTAATACACTTCTGTGAATAATAGTGTTCTGTGAACTTGGGAAGGAGACTGTTTTCTGTATGTATAGGCTTGAAAGAAAAAAACTGGTGGATTTTACTGAGACTTCAACCATATTCTTGATTTTTTTTTTTTTTTTTTTCCTGGTGAGTACTATGTGTATCGTGAAACAGCTGAAACAAATCTAAATATCAAATCTAAATATCAAGATAATGTTACATTCCAAGACTGCCTGATCTTGTGGGTGTGTGTTGGAATACACATGCAACCTAGCATCATACTTTAAAGTGACTTGCAGACATTTTCAAATAGCTCTTGTAATTTAGATCAATGGCTCTTTCGAGCTGTATTTATTGATCTTCACTTTCAAAAAGTCTAAATTATGTTTGGATCTTGCAGTTGCCACTTTCACTCTTGTTTCAGATATTCCCTGGATTGCAAGACTTAGTACAAAAAGTATTCCAGCTTCAGAAAAACAGCCAGCCTTTTTGTCTTTTGTGATGACAGGCTTTCATTACACCTCTCTTCTGCATGAGACAAGTTTGTTTTCTTCAAGAGTTAAATAATTTTTAGAGATACTGTTTCAGAGGGGGATTGCCACATCCAAGAAGCCTGTGGCATGTTTGGTTCTAAATGGAGAAGTTGCACAAATACAGTCAGCTGTGAGGAGGATGCACATTTCGTTCCTGTTGAGTTGTCTTATCACGTGTGAATTAGCTGTGCTATTACCTACTTAGTCTAGATAAAAGTGGAATGATGGATTATTGAGGAGTTGAAGTCTTGACAACTCTTGGCTGTAAGAAACAAAAAATGCTATTTCCATGCTGATGAAACTGCTACAATGAATGCAGAAAAAGAACTATTGTGTGTTTGGTTTGGAGAGCAGAAATCTTCTATGTCTGCTGATTGTACTTTGTCTCCAAGTTAAAAGGTGCAGACATTTTTGTGTGTTTGTTTAAAATGACATTAAGTTTCTGACTGAAAATGAAAAAAAATTCCTTGCTGAATTAGTTTTTTTCTGGATGACTGTGCCATTTCATGTTCTAGCTGCAGAAAAAAAAAAAAGTAAATAAAATTACAAAAATATAATAAACCATCATTGTATAAGTAGTGGTAAAACTATTTTTGACATTGTGAGGTTCTGGCTGTTATTAGTGTAGTAGTAAAGCAAAACAGGATTGAAGATTAACTGGCAGGTTCTGTTCTCTGCCTTGTGTTCTGGTAAGTCTAAAAGCTTGACTTTTTTTAATCAACCAAAATGAGTGATGACTGGTGGAAGCATTAATTCCAGAGTAATTCTATGCCAACAGCCAGCATTAGCACAAGAATAAGCTGAGTAGCTGGTTGTGAAGTGAACACGGCCAAGCAGAACAACTGTCTTCTGAAATAAATTGTCTTGGAACGAACCTTTTGGTACTTTAAGTAAAACTGTGAACTTGCCTTTTTTTTTTTTTCTGAAAGATGCTACAGTTAGGGTACTTTCTGCTAGAGAGAGAATTCTGAAGATTATGATTTCTAGATCTGCTATTTGGATGATGAGGTAGTGCTGCAAGGGGTCCCTCTAAAAATATTTACTGCCTTCTGAGTGGTGGCATCAATATTCATTGAAGGGGGTTGAGGCCTTGAATAAAGGCAAACTCATCAGGACTGTGTTTGCTGTGTGCTGCTCTGGTGGCCTGTTGGTGTAGGAAGTGGACTTGTAGAAAATTAAAACTAGGGAAGGGGAGGGTTTGTTTCTGATACAGTACAAAAATTCCTGTTGCCTGAGAAGACTGCCTGCAATAGCTGGGGATTCAGGTTTGGTGATGCAGAAAGTCTGTCCGGTCCTGTGTGCCTGATTCCACAACAACGAGGCAAGTTGCAAAGGAAGGTTGGAGACTTGGTGCTTGCAGAGCTGTCACGTTTCCTCCCAGTTGCTGCTTTCCCACCCTCTGACGTGTTGGAGCACATCTGCTTGGCTGAGGCCCCAGCTCCACATCCAGCTTGTCACTTATCCAAGTGAGAATCAAATGTCTTCATATTCAGCACACCTGGTTTCCCAAGTGATGTTTTGTAGCTCGAGTCTTCCAGGTTCTCACTACAAACCAAATTATCAGCTTAGTGCCATCAAACTGTGAAAACTTCCTCATACCTCTGAATAACGCATGGCAACTGTGTGTGCTACCATTTTGTTCACCCCTTACATTAGCACTAGAGAAGCAGAACGATGCACACTAACGGCTAATTCAGTCACCAGGATTACAAAGAAGCTGTTGTATTAGGAGTGTTTGTGTGTATGTATATAAATGGCTTTTAAACTTAAATATTCTAGCACTATTATACCAATTATTAGTTAAAAATGCCCACAGTTCTGAACATTTACAAACGGGCTGGTGACTAGTTAGGGAGAAATCCTGCTGCTTAGAGGCGAGTGTTTTGGGGGGTTTTTCCCCCCTGTTCTTCAACCATCTTGCCTCCCCCTCTGAGTACAGGTCTTTAAATTTGTTGGTGCCTCCTTGAATTCTTATTTTTGCAAGTTTGTGCCTCTTAGGGTTTTCTGATCCCACAGAAAATGATCAGGGAGTTGGGCAGAGTGAGGATGCGTCTTGTTCACACAATGCTGTGTAAGCATGTGCATGCACTCATTGCTATATAGGAGTATCACTTTTACACTTCCTTCTGCACTCCAGTGCATTTATGCTTCTATTAGTGGCATGTCTCAACATCTGTAAAGGGATTCTTTTGGTCTCGTAATTCTGGATTCAAAAAGGAGTATCAGTTGCTTTCCAGCTGAACAGAGAAGCTTGCTACTAGAGCTAAAATCAAAACAGAACCAAAACAACAAAAAAACCCACCCCAACTGAAAAACTAAAATTTGCTTGTCTCCAGCATAAAGTAGTGCCATAGCCAGATGGCAACAAATGTTGCCACCCATTTTTCACTAAAAAGGGAACATAAGAATGCCTCCCTGAATGAGGATTCTCTGACATTACAGATTTGTGGGGTTTTAGGATTAGTGCATTGTGATTTAGCAGTTTACTTTCTAGATTGAATATTTGGTACATGACCTCAACTACCTTATGCTGAAGGGCTCTAAATAGGAGAACGCCCTTGGAGCTGTCTTCACAACTGGCAGCTTGCTAACATCAGCCTTTACCTTGGGGACTAACAAGGCGTATTGCAGCATTTCTGTGTACAGGCTTTGGCATCCATACTTCTGATACGTGCTTCCTCATTTAATAGTTCTCTGAGCTCTGGAAAACGAGAATTTAGCCTCTGGTGACTCACTCAAGTCTAGTTTGGATGAAACAGTTCTCATGCCAAGAATTCTGCTTATGTGCAAGGAACTGCAAGGCCTTAGTTCTTCCTCCATAAACTCACCAAATCTAAACCCTGATTGTAATAGGCTTCTGTAGGGAGAAATCTCTTTATCCACAGTTCTCTGTATCCTCATTAGCACTTTTTTTTTTTTCTAACAAAAGGGATTGTTCTGTGGTTCCTTTGTAGTATTTGACTATTGTTAACCTTATGCTGTTTTTCATACCTTTTGTAGAGCAGGTTCTATCTGTTAGCTCTGAGGTATATTTCCAAGATACTTCTGCCCATGTTTCCTGGTGTTCAGCATAACTGTCAGATTTTTCAGGCATTTATTTGAAGCTGTCTTTTGGCCAGGAAACACATCCTGAACTTGAACTGATTTTAACGGCCTGAAATGGTATCTTCACAGGTGTTTAGCATCATTGTGCTTTTTGAGGAAGGTTTTGTGGTGGCTTTCCAGCAGTATAATTCTACCATCTTGACAGTGAGAGGCTTGAGTGAGAGGAACAGCTAATTTGAGTCAGATGGCTCCAGCAAGCTCTACCTTTTGCTCCCACACCCAGCAGAGCTATAAAAGGAAGATAAGCAGTTATTACTGCTTTCGAGAGTATTTGAACCCAGCCTCAACCACAGCTACTGTCTTGTATACTGCTTTTTCTCCCCGTGGCACCACCAGCAGTAAGTCATGCAGAGCTGTGGCATGTGTGGACCAGCTGCAGCCCTGCTCCCTGTTCTGCTCCATGTGAGCTTCAGACACAGCATTGCCTCTGCTAAAAAAGTCAGAGACCCTTCTGCTGAACCCTCAGTAGGATTCTTTCTTAGAACTTCCCTTAGAGGATGTTTTGAAATCATATCTAAAGCTATATTCATGAATCAGTTATAAAAGTACGTGTTTTCTGCATGTGCCTCTTCTAGGTCAAGATGCCACTGTATGCTTCTTATGCCAGGAGAATCTTCTAATTTTCAGTGCACAAGCTCAGACTTTTTAATCTCCCCATGTTTTGTCTGCCACAGAGACTGTCCAGCCAGATAATTGGCTGTGTGCAACCCTGCAGTGGGACTTGCTGAGCTTGAGCTCTCCATGGCCTTGCTGAAAAATACTTCTATTCCAGATTCCTGCACTGCAGCCATTAAAAGGTCCAGTTGCTTTTTCATCGCACATCACGCTGTTTTATGGAGGAAA